TGTAAGTACATTTATACTTATTATACATTAAACTTGAACTTGATACATCCGTGAACATAATAGTTATAATTAATTAATTTAAAATAACTATTACTTAAGATAACTTACAATTTACATTTGCCCCAAATATTTTGGTTACGGGGTTATTGTAAACATTAATTTGGGGTAAATGAGAACAGTAAAATATATTAAAAAAAATTACCTATGTATGGTAGTTAAACAATACCTAAATATTCATGTTCTGATTCCAAGCTTTTACTATTTGATATAAACAAGTTCACAAGTTAATTTTTGAATTGTATTAGTAATATTTATTTTTATTTTAGGGTGAGAAATTATGTGAAAAAAACGAAGTGGCCCTAGTTATACTCCAAATGATTTAGAAAAAGCTGTGAATGCTGTTAAAAGCGGAAGTCTTACATATAATCAAGATTTTGAAGAATTTAATGTTCCTAAGGCAGTAGTTTTTAACCGTATAAAAGGAAGAAAAACTCCAATGTCATGTACAAAAGCTGGTCGGTCTCGTGTTTTCTCTGATGAGATAGAATTAGTACTTGAAAAATGTTTAATAGCTAGATCAAAAATGGGTTATCCATGCGATAAAAATGAATTTAAAGAATTAGTTGGACGTTTTATTAAGCAAAGTAATTTTATCACACCATTTAAAAATGGTATTCCTGGAGATGACTGGTATTACGGATTTATGAAAAGGCATCCTAAATTATCATTTAAAAAACCTGAACAACTACAAAAAGTAAGAAAAGATGCTAGAAAGCCAGAAGTAGTATACGATTTTTATGAAAAACTGATGGATGTTGTTGTGGCAAATAATATGCAGAATCGCCCAGAGTTCTTTTTTAATGCAGATGAGAGTGTGTTCCACACAGACCCTTCAAAACTAAAAGCAATTGGTGAAAAAGGACAACCTCTTAATCGTATAGTTGGAGGTTCAGGTAGAGAATCAATTTCTGTATTAGCATGTGTATCAGCTGATGGTAAATATTTACCACCATTAATAGTTTTCAAAGGATGTGCCGTTCAAGCTCGATGGACCTCACCTAAAGCCTATCCAGGTATATTATTTATTAACAGATGTTACCTATACATTATTTTTCCAATTTACATATTTTTTTTTATTTGTTTCAGGAACATTTTATGCTGTTAGTAAGAACGGTTGGATGGAAGAGTCTGTATTTTTTTAACTGGTTTAGTAAGTCTTTTGTTCATCATGTACAACAACTTCGTCAATATAATAACAATGAAAGCCAAACTGCTCTCCTTTTATTTGATGGGCATTGTTCACACATAAGTATTAGGATATTGAAATCTGCTATTGACAATAACATAGTGTTGGTAAAATTTCCTAGTCATCTAACAGATAAAATTCAACCACTTGACAAGTGTGTTTTTGGTCCGTTAAAATTTGCATGGGATAAAAAACTTATTCAATTTGGTAAACAAATGGTAGGTAAAGGAGTTGGAAGATTGACAAAAGGCAAATTTTCAGAGCTATTGGGTAGTGTGTGGTTGGAGTCAATGAAATCTGTAAACATTATATCAGGTTTTAAAAATACAGGCACATTTCCAGTTGACTCGGCTATGTTTCCAGAAGATTTGTTTGATCCAATTGACCTCAAAGAGTACAAAAATAAAAAATACCAAGAACAGTTGCAGACAATTGAAATACTTAAGGAATTTAACCAACCTACTACTTCTATTGAATTAACTGAGCCTACCAATATTATTCCTGAAATCAGTTTTAACTCTGAATCTTTCACAAGCTTAACAGAAAATAATTGTTTACCTTTTAATGAAATTAATTCTGAATTTCTTGATTATCCAATCTACATAGAACAACATGATTTATCTACATATTGTAATAGTAAGAATACAAGTGATTTAGCTTCAACCTCTATAGAACATAATAATTTATCTACAAGTTATAATACAATTGATAATTTAGGAACAACAGCTCTATCTGATATAACGCCAGTTGATATCATTGGGATTTTTTCAAATCAATTAATAAATTTAAAATCTCAAAATATAACACCTGTTGTTCCCAAACAACAAATACCTCGTTTAAAAACTGCTATGTATGGTGAAGTTTTAACTACAGGTGAAGTAATGACTAGGTTAAAAGAAGCTGAAACCAAAAAATCGGACAAACAACAAAAAAAAGATTTGAGAGGCAGACCAAAAAAAAAATTACCAATTCAAATTGATGATGATCAAATTGAGAAAACCATGGAAATAGATTTTCACAACCAAAGTTTGGAAGAGAATTATGATGATGTGGCTAATGACAATGGACTTGAAGAAATTGAATATCAAACTCCAATATGGTCCGATATAAAACCAGGATGTTTTTTACTAGTTGACTTTATTGGTGGACCAAGAAAAAAAACACATTTTAAATATGTTTGTTTGGTTAAAACTGTTAAAACTGTTGATGAAGATGATGGAGAAATAACAGTTCAAGGATTAAAAAAGGAAGATGATTATGGGGCAGTATTCTCTTTCATAGACAACGACATTTCAACCATAACACCAGAAATGATAATTGCAATGCATCCACATCCAAATCAGAAACAACAAGGGAGAAAAACCATGTATGTGTTTCAAGGCTTTGTGACTGTAAAAGAAAAGTAGTTCCTAAAAATTAAACTGATACTAGTCAAATATTAGTTACTATGTTGTCCACTTTTATATTTATAAAATGTTAAAACTATTGAAATAAGAAATTGTTAAATTAATTTTAAGTACCTAGGTACCTACCTACTTTACATATTGACTGAAATGAATTTTAAAGGTGATAATAATTTTAATTTTTAGTCATATAAATTGTTTAACTTTATATTAACTGTTATATATATAAGGATGTTTCTTAAAGAATAAAGAATCGTTAATTTTTCTCACATTAATAAATAAAATCAGTTTTATTTTTTCATTTCCAATTGCCCCTAATATATATAAATATAAAAATGATGATGGTTCTCATTTGCCCCACGCCAGGTATTAATATTGGGGTAAATGTAAAAATGAATGATAATTAAATGACAATGTAAAATAATAAACTTATGACAACTAAATAACTATTGCCCCAGAGTTTATTCATATCCAATGCATACAAACTGAAGTATTCATTTACATTTGCCCCAAAAATATTGGGGTAAATGTAAATGTGTGGGGCAATTGTAAATATGCTATAATTTATAAAATAATGGAAAATTTTTGTGTATAGTAATCAAATTATAGTTCTCAGATGTGCAACTCAATGATAATGCTAAAAGAAAAAAAGAAAAATTATCCAAAAAGCCATAGTTTAAAGTCATGTTAAAAACTTGTGAATTTAGTTTACAATTACCCCACTTGACCCTACCTGTAAACATTTTTTTACATGAAAACGAAGTAGACTGAAATAGTGAAATATAATAAAATTAAAAACAAAATAAATAAATAAACTTAACTAACTTCTTAAAATGAAAAATGAAATCGTTAATTCAGAAAGAAATTTAAAAGTTAACAGTTAAGTTAATGAAAAGCCAAAAGTAACTAGTTAAGTTAAAAAATTCAAATAAAATCAACTTTTTAACTTGTTAATGCCCAGCCTTGGCACTATTAACTTTATTTTTGTAAAAAAATATAATGTATCAAAGAAACGAATACATCAATATAAACAATAAATAATTATCTAGTAAAAATAAAATTTATAAAATATTGTGTTTATAGGGTATTATTATATATTATATTATTATCGCTAGACACTCGACAGTTATATCAATAACACTATCTAATACGTGTATTTATGATTTGTTTTTAGAACAGTGGACTTATATTATACATTTAAATTTTAAATCTATTTTTAAATATAGGTAAATTATTGAATGGATATTTCATTTTACTTTGGTATGGACTATTGTGTATATTTTATTTACAGTTATTATATGAAAATAAAGTTACAGTTTAAGTTTTAAAAGGTCAAAATAAAGAAGTATACTGTATGTACGTACAATTTTTGATGTTGAATATTTATATTATTAATTATTATATTAGGTATAAATGGCATAATATATATTTTATAGTTTTATGTAATTAAGGTTGTCGGGTAAAACGGTAATTGTGGACTGTATGATATTTATGGGTGCCATGCCCCCCCCCCCCCCATTCTCCGTATTTTATACCTTTTTTTTTACAGTGCTTTTGGAATGGAAACTAATGGAATAAAAAAGTTAAATTTCTCTGCAACCGAAACATATAGGTAAACACTTGCTAGGTATTAAACTGCTGAGTGTGAACTCATAATAAACAAAATCTAAGATTATTTTTAAGTATAATATATTTTTTATTTTAGAAGCACTTACTACAAAGTTTACGGATCTAAAAAGAAGAAAATTGCCAGCCAATTGAGTCGATGGTTTTCAGGAGCTAAGGAAAGAGAGGTTCGGGAAAAAAGAAAGATTGTATAAAAAAATGAAACTGAGTAAATAATAAGTGAAAAAAATAAATTTTGTATAAATTTTTTTATTTTTGCAAGGTACCTACAAAACAAATATTTAATAAATGATCTAATTGAATATTTTTTGTTTATAATATTGTTATAAATAAAAACAGTTATAATGAGTTAATAATTTCTAGTGTATTAATATTACCTAAAAAGAAATAATTTCTAAACCAAATATTAGGAAAATATCAGTACAGAGCACAGTTAACATGCCATAATATCCCAGTAATGTAAATCAGTACTATAGCAGTACTAAAAGCCAGTACCAACCATAAGTATTGGTCCATTATGGTATACCAGTACTGAACAGTGTTATCATCACAGACATACACCAGCAGTGGGCTAACACCGACTGCCAGTAACGTTCCAGTATTAGTCAGTAGTGGCGCTCGTTGTTGATTTCCGATTGGGTATGGCGTCAGAGCATCGATCGTCACACCCCCGGATCGGGAATTCAATGCCGATTCGATATCAAATCTCAGGGAAAACTCGTTAGCTAGGGCTGGATAACTGAGAAAACCAACATGCTCCGGCTCGGGCTGTCAACGACATCTGTCTTCACCTGGCTGATGTTGGGTGGCCTGTCGTCGGGCCTTGCGACATGAGCGTCATCAGGGACCTGGAGAAGGTGGAGCTCCTGTTCCTGTGCTCGATGGAAGAGTTCCTCGGCGACGCTGTCCTGGGGCTTGACTGAGTGTCGAAGTTGTGTTGAGTTTCCACACGTCGTTCGAGGTGCTGGCGCAAGTCCCTTACTGCAGCACGCGGCTACTCGACTTTTGTCTGGGGTCCGGGGTGCTCTCGAAGTCCTCCGAAAATTGGCCATTTTAGGTGGACGATAGATCACCTCGGACCTGACAAGGTTGTGTGACATCGTTGGCTTGGTCGACACCTCCAGTATCTTTCGCTAAGTAAGTGATTTTTTTCATTTTGCACATATCATTGATTTCAGCACTTTTGAAATTATAATTATGAAACATATCTTCCGTTTAGCTACTAGCTGAATAATTTGACCTCGAGATCGTCCTACGCTTTCATGCGTTCGAAGAGTCAAGGTTATCTAATTAGTCAAGGACATTTTGTTATAAATTAATTTTTTTTGTAGAATAAAACTTCTGATCCAATAAAGGATACTATAAATAGAAGCCTAAAATCACGCAATGCAAAGTACACTCCAACAATTAGAAGTTTTGCCTTAACTCTACAGTTTTATTCATCCAAGGCATATACATTTGTTAAGAGAACATTTAAAAATCTACTTCCTCATCCCAGCACTTTAAAAAAGTGGTATTCAGTAGTACAATCAGAACCTGGGTCTACAAAAGAAGCATTTGATGCTATTGCATCACGAGTGAAGCAGACAGAAAAACCAGTCATTTGTAATATAGTCATTGATGAAATGTCTATCCGCAAGCAAATATCATTTCTTAATGGAAAATTTTATGGAGGCGTTGATTTAGGTACCAACGATAACCCAGAAAATGACAATGTCCAAGAAGCTACTAACGCTTTAGTTTTCCTTGCTGTTTGCTTAAATGGACATATAAAATTCCACTTGGGTACTTCTTAATCCATAGCTTTTCTGGTTGTGAGAGAGCTAACCTACTTACAAAATGTCTTGAACTATTTAGTGATACTAAGGCAAAATGTTATTCAATAACATTTGATGGGGCTCCTCGTAATTTATCGATGTGCAAAATTTTAGGAGCAAATTTCGATTATTTTTCAGTAGACTTCAAGCCATGGATACAAAACCCAGCTTTTCAGTAATCTAATCACCAACCTATTTATATATTTTGGGATGCTGCACATATGTTGAAGTTGATACGAAATACTCTAGGCGATCGAAAAGTTTTGTTAAATAGTCAAAACAAAGAAATAAAATGGAATGATATTGTAACTCTTCAGGAAATTCAGGAAAGCAGAGGTTTACATGCAGCGAATAAATTAAAAAAGTGCCACATCCATTACTTCGAAAATAAAATGAACGTTCGTTTAGCTGTTCAGACTTTAAGCTGCAGTGTTAGTTCAAGCCTGATATTTTGTGAAGAACTATAACTCATAACAGAAGCAAGGTCAGTGCTATTGTGTCTACAGCAAAATTTTGTAAAATGTTTAACGATGCTTTCGATTCATGTAACCGTAGAAATAAAATTTCGAAAAGTGATTACAGCTTTCCAATAACTGAAGAAAATTTACCTCGGATTGAACTTTTTTTAAATGAATTTAAATCTTACGTCAAAGGTCTACGGTTGGAAAAATCAAATAGTTGTCAAGAAGGAGAATTAATTTTAAAAAGTGCACAAAAAGCAGGTTTCCTTGGTCTCATCATTTGTATAACCAAATTAATACATTTATTTAAAACGGTTAAAAATGATATGTCATTTATCATATGTCAGTTACAAATCGAGTCAGGACTTTTTGGAAGTATTTTTTAGTGCTCTAAGAAGTAGAGGTGGATTCAATAATAACCCTAACACGATTCAATTTAGATCCGCATACAAACGTCTTCTCGTTTGTCATGAAATTAGTGAATCATTGTATAGTAATTGTACCCTACTCGATTCGTCAAGTATTTTATTTGTAGGAGCAAATACAAACGTAATACAAGCTGACTATTTGTCCCGATAGAATTGAGAATTTGACTTCCGAAGAAAGTATTCTTTTGAGGAATTTGAGCACGATTATGATTACCAAATGCCAGGCTTAGAAGAATTCGTTATTAATTTTGTTACATATACCAGTGGTTTCATCGTTAGAAAAATTAGACGAAAAAAGATTTTTGTAATGTATGTGATTCATTATTAGTCAAACGTGAAGATACAAATACTTCATTATTACTAAAATTAAAAAATCGGGGGAAATTAATAAATGTTTCATCAGATATACGCAAAATATGCTTAGCGGCCGAATATATATTTTGATTTAATACTAATAATTTATTAAAAATAAAAAATATCAAGCCAATATTATGCTCTAAGACTATTAATGAAGTTACCGAAGATACGTCAATATTTAACTTCGAAACAATGAAGGCTCATATATTGAACCCATGTGTGTTCGATAATCACCGAAATCAATTAATTAAAATCATAATTGATTACTACTTGACATTGAGGCTGCACCATTTTTCGAAGATAAAAACAATGTCAACTTCGGGTAAAAATGTGAGAAGAACTCTAACAAAATTAATATTATTTAATAATCAGTAGTTAGTAATGTTGAATGTTCTGTACTGTGTAGTTATGTAGTATCAATAGTTAAATGTTTTATATAAGTTAGGTACAATATTACCCAAATAAATAATGAATAGAGTAATAATATAAAATAGTAAATAATTGTATATATTTTTTTCTTTTCTCTTTTTTTTTTAAATGTTTCATTTTATTATTAATTCTAATTAATGTCTGTTTTACATTGTTACTATATTGGAAATTGGACATTATTCATTTGAATAACAAATAAAAATACAAATACAAATAAATAAATAAAAAACAATTATGTTATTATATTTTATTTGAATATTAAATACCGCGTTTATTTGTAAAATAAATATGCGACTAGTATACTCGCGCATGCGCAGATAACGAATCTCAAGGAGAGACTCGTTGCTAATATGTGCTTCAAATTGTTTACACAGGCGAGATAGGCCATGGCTCCATCCATAGTATATGATCTAAGGATTCAGGTATCTATCGCTTCGTCTCGACACCGCCGTCACGCAAAGCCATCGCGCGTTCAAATCTGTTCAGCCGTGGCTGCGAAATCGTGAAAACAGTGTTCCGAAATCCGCCGCCCGCCGAAGTAAAAATGTTCGTCCGATCTTCGTGCACGAGGTCTTAATGTCTTTAGCTCCACGCAACTAAGTGAAAAAGAACGTAGCTTAAGAACTAAGCGAGAAACGGAGACCGATGCCGCTCGTTTAACAGCCACTTTAGTTTCGCCACAGTCGGCAAACCGAACTCTGCACACACCCGTTCGATACACCAAAAGATCCGTACCACCCGTGCGCACCTTTCGGTGTACTCAGTAAGTTAGGTTAGGCGGGACCCACCTTGTCGTGGTGGGGGGGCTCACGGGCCAAAGCCCGTGCCAAGAGGTTCCACTCAAGTGCCGGTCCTGACCTTCACTGGTTGGATCGGCAGGTCTGGTCCAGAAGCTAGCAGCGGCAAACTGACCCAGAAGGAAACTGCAAACCAGAGCCGGCCCAGACCCAATACGTTAGGGCCGACAGGACCGGTCCACCTGCTACTTACAGCAAACGGACCCAGATGGTAACTGTAAATTCCCCCCTGGCGGTAGGGCTACAACGCAGACTAGAATTTGCCTTAAAAAATCAAACATGGATCAAAATGCCGGAATTTTACCCCTGTCCAAGGGCCAAACGGATTCGGGGGGGGGGGTGCATCCATAAACGGAGAAAACAATTCAAACCTGGAAATTTCAAATACTGATAAAGAAGGACACGGAACCACAGAATCGCCAAATGCTCAATCGGCGAGCGGAATTCAACCCGTGAGTGTTGACAAAACAGCTGGGAACCAAGACACCATCATAGAATCCAACAACCTATACTCGGCCATGGATAACCTTATCAAACGCTTCAAAACACAGAACAGTGGTATCAAACTGCTTATAAGCGAAATCTCGAACCTAAAAGCCACACAGACACTGACGAGAAGTGACAAGATAAGAACGTGCATAGAGGATATCTATAATATGACTAAAAAAGTAGAGCCAAGTAGATATGAAACCATCAGAGCTTTCAAATCTCTTCCACTGATAACAAGAGACATGGTGCTTACTCAGAAAGAAGAAGAAACTAAGGAGAACCAAATCCTCCTAAAGGAGACAGTCGAAGCATCGACATCAACTCCCTGCTGGTGGGACATGGACGAAAACACACGAAGGAAAGAAACATGGAGCGATGTGGTCAAAACAAAAGGGAAAAGGAAACCTACCAACCAGGCTACAGATAAGAGGAGCAGCAAGGAGAGAACAGTAGAGACAATTCGCACAAAGCCTCCTGAAAACCAGGAGCCACGGAATACCAACAAGAGGAACAATAAGACCAAGCGAACAAGACAAGCCATTCCAGACTCAATTGCAATCAGACCGAGTGACAGAGAGACAAGCGATAGCATCCTATTGACAATAAGGAAAGAAGTCAACCTTACACAGATAGGCCTCGCCGTGAAAAGCATTAGGCAAAGCAGAGAAGGAGAACTCCTAATCCAGTTAACGAAAGACAATGGCAAGAGGAAATAACTGGGAGCAGCCCTCCAATGAACGCTGGGCGAAAAAGCCAAAGTTAGAGAACTTATCCAGTTTTCCGAAACGGAATTACTACGGAAACCGAAGTACTGGACGCTCTAAGATCGGCCCCAAAACTAGCAGATGAAGATACGAGCGTCAAGATCAGGAGCCTCAGGACCATGGGGCATGAAGAGAGCGACCGCAACCCTAAAGGTCGGGACACACTGTTCACATGCCACGTGTTAACATGCCTTTACATACCACGCCGTGGTAAAACGTATGAGACAGCGCTGTACACATTAATACAACGCGTGTGATAGCATCGTATGCTAAAATAATTGGGTAACACACTTTACAAGCTAATTTTTGTCAGCCAGTACCATTTTGTTGTCGAAAGAAGTAAGGTACACTTTGTCACTGCATTATGGATTATTCATCAAGTTCATCTGACAGTGATTGGATAGAAGAAGTAGAAGAAACGGTTGTAGCAACAAATATTTTGAATCAAACAGCCAAGAACCGCAGATTTTGGGTGCACCCTATTAACAAGGAAAGGAATGGAAAAGGCGTATTTACCAACTTATTTCCACAGTTAATAAATGACCCGGAAAAGTTCCATCAATACTTTCGTATGTCGTATGATCAATTTAGTTATTTACATAATCTAATAAAGGCCGATATTAAAAACAAAACACATAATTTCGAGCACCAGTACCGTCTGAACAGAGATTAGCTGTATGCTTAAGGTAAGTAATTAATACAATTTAATTTTTTTTCGTTTGCATTATAAAATATAATATTATTAAATAATTAAGACGTAATTATTTTTCACAAAGAAGTTTGCAGAACAATTGAAAATTTAATTACATATTTATTTATCATTAAATTGCTTACCTACTTTTAATAAAAATAACAAGTAAAAAATTAACGTAAAAACAAATTTGACTTTGCCTGCATTTTAATATAAGTGTAGTAATAAACTAATGACTTTCTTTTTGCAAATCTATAAATTAAAATAAATTATTTCGTAAATTATTTTATAAACAAATACAAAAAAATAATTCTAAGGAAACAAACAGTGTAATAATATTATATGAAAAATAGAGAACAGCAATACCTATTGCTTTTTTCAAAAATAAAACAATTGTAGTTATATAAATTAATTTAATTTAAAATGAATGGTAAAATAAATATAACAATAAATATTGGTATTTATTTAAAAAAAAAAAATAAAAATATTAACTTACTTTGAAAAACAAAAATATTTTATTGAAAATGTTATTTTGTTAATAAATAATAATATATTTTAATTAAGGGACTCATATTGATTAGAAGAACCTTCTTCTGAAATTTACGTGAAAGGATGTTGGTTATTAAGACGTAAGTTGGCATCGAGGATGGGACGACAGTAGTTTTGTTTGTCATAAACGTAAGTCTGGCTGTTTGAATGCGTCGATGAAGAGGTAGACCAACTACTTTCACTCTGTTCTTGATGCAAACTCAAATTTTGAGGTTGTAAATGTACCGGTTGGTTTTGAGTTTCATAAAATACTGGATTGAGCGTTTGACGGTTTAATGATGTATTTGGTTGAGTGGCTGTTTCAATCTCAACTAAGTGAGCCAATTCTGCTTCCGAAACCTTATTGCATATTTCCATCCGAAGTTTAGCCTCCTTTGCCTTAGGTAAACGTTTTGCTATTTTCGCCATACTTAGGTATAAGAGCTCCACATCATCATGCCCAGAAAATTGCTTTTTTTCATATTTTTATTTTGTTATGGATGCAGTTTCCCTCAATATATCAACCAACTCTCCAGCATGATCTGGTTTTTTCCTTTTCATAGAAATTTCTTTTTTGGATTCCAAACTTTTGTCTACATCTGAATTGCTTATTGTATCTTGCTGTGATTCAACACTTAAATTGAAAGAAGTATTACCAGTTTTTTCGGAAAAATCATCAGCGTTTGGTTTCTGTATACTACTCGGGGAGGAACCAGTTTCTAAATTACTATGTACTCTAAAATTATATTTAAATAAAATAAAATAATATTGAACTGTCTTATGCGTATTTATCTTATTGTTATGCAGGGTGGAACAGGAAGACCTAACAAATTAAATTAATTTTGTTGTAATAAATAATCTATATACATATAATTTATTGACTTATGAGATATACCTATAATTCAACATTTTTGATTCTGAGCGGAGCTTTGGATATAGGGGAAGATTGGTGAATGGCGGTAAGTGGGTAATACCGGTCAGTGGCATATCTCATGAAATATGATAGCTAAAATCACAGATATATAAAAATACTAGATAGACGACTTGGAAATGTTTTTGAAGCCAACAAAATGGCTGAAATTCTCTTATCTAAGAGGTGAATTTTTACATTTTCATAACACTGATAAAGATATTATTATTATCAATTTGTCATAATATGATTAATATTATAAACTATAAGTTTAAACTTTAAAGTTGTATGGTAGTTCATGATGTTAATTACTTAACTTACTTACATAAATCTTAAATACATATTATTAACTTTTAGCTTATTCAACAGCTATGTAAATTATGTAATGGTGCATGTGAATATTACATTATTTTCTAAAAATTTGTTCTATTGTAAAATATTTTTAAAAACAATCTGCATTAATTAAAAATTTTACATCCATTTATTGTTTTTGAAATACTATATTTAAAATCAATAAAACAAAACTGGTATACTACCTTATTTAATAATAATACAATTTAAAAAAAAAAAACAAAATAAAACTGGTACCTATCTACTAGTACTATACCTAGTATAATAATAATAACAAAATAAAACTGGTTAACTACCTAATTTAATAATAATAAAATAAATGTTTAAAAAAAAAAAAAAACGAAACTTGTGTACAACCTTGTATAATAATAACCATAAAATATTTTAAATCAATAAAACTTGTATCTATACTAGTACTACACAGTAACTAGTAATAAATATACAATATTTCAACTAAAGAAAACAAAACTAGTGTATTAATTAATTTAATAATAGGTAATACAAATAATTAAATAAAACTGTTAAGTACCTATAATAGTATAATCTATACTACATATAATATTTTATACCTACTACTGATTCATAAAAATGATTTGTTTAGTTAATTTTTGTCGTTTACTAACCGGATTTAAAATTTCTGTTGAAAACATTTTGCCGAAAGAATGGAGTCGAATACTTAAATATTTTTTAATTAATAATGAAATTAATACCATCTTATGGGGTCTGTCTAGTAAAGGAACATTATCACATTAAAGGATATTAAAAATATTATTATCAAATGCAAATTTATTGTTACACAGGTTTATTATTTTTAAATCGAGATTTTTTATATTTAATGTTTGTAAATTATTTGTTAAAAGTAATAAAAATGTTTCAGCTTGATAAATTATTTTAAATGCACATTCTGATGGAGAAACTAACCCACCATTATTTTTAAAATCAACAAATTTTGAATATTCTGCATGATGATGATAACTGTGTTCAGAGAATACTTTTAGAAGTGATTGGATACATGAATTGCAGTCTAATAAAGGTATAATTTTTTTTAAGGCATAGCCAGTAATATAATATATTATATTTTTTTTGGAGTCATCTTCATAATTAGAATTTGAATTATTTAATAAAGTTGATCTATTTACTATTTCAATTGCATCACTATCACTGAAATTATCATTACTTATATTTATATTTTGGTTTTTTTTGTTATATTTAAAGGAAAAAATGGATAATGTTGCGTCATCGTCAAAAGTATTACAGTTGCCATGTGAGGAACAAGTTACAGCATTTTTAAGTAATATTTGTTTTAGTGCCGTTTTAAATTGAATTACATTAGGGTTATTATTTGCACCATATCGTTGACGTATACGGCCAAATAATAACTCTATGTGGTCCTGAGAAAATCTGTAAGTCAAAATATACTTAAAATTTAAATTTTGGGTAAATATAATTTCAGATATTTCAATAATGGATTTTACTGCAGCTGCAAACCCTATTATAAAAGTTTTCTTGTTAGATTTATAAAGAAATTTATTTTGAAATTTTAAACAATATAAATTATGAATAAATAGAATAATTTTATCTTTAATAAATTGTATGTTAGACTGAAAAATTGGACTTTTATAACCTTTTGAAAACGGAGATCTAGAATTTAAAAAATCAAATATTTGGTCTATAGTTCTAGCATTTCGGTATGTGGCTTTACTTACTTCTATACACAACAATTTTTTACCCTCAACTATAAATTAATTAATCAAAATCATTCTTAACAAAACTAAATCATATTTTACTAATATAATTTACCAAGAGTTTAAGGATTGAACTTTTGGTCAAAACTTAGGAACTGAAAATTATATCATACCATAATGTTTAAAGTTAATACAAGTAAATTACATCCTTTGTATTGTTATAAATACAAGATCATAAAATAATTGTACCATTTAATGGCATAGGTACATTTTGAAACTCAGCGTTTAATAATTAGAAGAGTCTTGTTATTACATAAATATAATATTAATTTAACCAAATTTTATAATTTCCATAAGTATAAGATTTAATATATTAATAATATTTTCTCATATATTTAATATTAAATAAATCTATTTTTCTTCTTTTTTGTTTTACTTTATTATGTTGTAATATGACATAACATAAAGTTATATTTATTTTCATTTTTAATATGAACTCAGATCATTAGAATTCAAGCAGTGCTTATTGGACAAGCTTGAAACTTGTTAATTATATCTACATTGTATTTCTCGTTTGTTGCAATAAATTATACTTTTAATCTTAATTTTAAGTTAAGGACTAAGATATACTATAAAATTAAAAATATAAGTATATTATCTTAGTCCGTGTTGTAACGTCTTGTAAGTGTATGATATTGTAATTTGTAATACATATTTAATAGTTTTGGATTCCCGCCATAAAATTATCACAGTTTATCATAATTTATATTTTGTAAACATTCACCTCTTAGATAAGAGTATTTCGGCCATTTTGTTGGCTTCAAAATTATTACATTGTAGGAATAGGGAGTCGTCTATCTAGTATTTTTATATATCTGTGGCTAAAATTTAGATTTCCAAGTTATTTGATAAGTGTTGTTATCAAAACCTAATATCTGACGTCTCAAAATGATAAACAAAATTTTTCCCACCAAAAATTTGTTATCAATTACATTATCACTTTCGTTCTAATATTTTTGAAAATTGACAATCGCCTGAAGGTAAGTGTTTTAATATTTTTTCTACATCAATGGTTATATTTACATCTAAATATTATGAGGATTGCAATTATGTGCTCATAATTCACTTACATAGTATAATTTTTAAGTAAATGCATGTATTTCAAAAAAACTGTGAAATGGGTATTACCTGCCAAATGTGATGGGGTAATGGTGGTCACATTTTGACTGACTGTCATTACCCCGTAGCAAATAAATTATATTAAATATAATAACTGTAGTAAATAATTTATTTTAGATGCCACGAAAATACGTCCGAAAAACAACTAAAGGTAGTTGGAGTACCGAAGACTTAGTAAAAGCCATAAATGTTGTTACTAATAAAGAGATGAGAATGCGTAAGGCTGCTAAAAAATTCAATATACGATACAGCACTCTTCAAGAAAGGATAAACCGCAGTAATTATCAACCACCAAGATTAGGTGGTACGTCAGTGTTCTCATCATCAAATGAACAAGAAATTGCTGATCATGTAATTAAACTAGCTAATCTTTTTTATGGTCTGACCCCATTACAACTGAGAGCAGCTGCCTATACATTTGCTGTACAAAATTATATTAAAAACAAATTTAATCATCATCCTGGCTGGTGTTGATTGGTTTCGAAATTTATTAGGTGGAATCCTTCTGTAACTGTAAGAAAACCAGAAGCCACTAGCATGAGTCGAATTACTGCGTTTAACAAAACAGAGGTAACATTATTCTTTCAAAATCTTGAAAAATTTATGGAAAAATATAATTTTACTCCAGCTAATATTTATAATATGGACGAGACAGGGATTAGTACAGTACAGGATCCAGAGAAAATTGTTGCTCCAAAAGGCCAGAAAAGAGTGGGTTTTATAACCAGTTGGGAAAGGGGTAAGAATGTAACAGTCATCTGTAGAATGAGTTCATCTGGAACATATATTCCACCAACTTTCATTTTTCCAAGGAAAAGGATGAGCAATCAATTAACAAAAAATGGTCCTCCTGGAGCATTATATCAATGCACAAAAAATGGTTGGACTAATGAAGAAGTTTTTCTTGAATGGCCCAAACATTTCACTTATCATGCAAAACCATCACAAGAATACGCCGTCTTATTAATATTAGATAACCACAACAGTCATATTTCTATGGCAGCCTATGAGTTTTGCAGATCAAAACATATTGTTATGTTATCATTGCCACCTCATACTTCCCACAGACTACAGCCATTAGATGTTAGTTTTTTTGGTCCACTAAAAGCTGAATTTAAAAGAGAGTGTGACTTATATATTAAATCACATTGCCTAGTAAAAATAACACCGTATGACTTAGCAGATTATTTAATAAAGCTTATTCTTGTGTAGCTACAATACAGAAAGGAATTTCAGGGTTCGCCTCAACGGGCATTGCTCCAATGAATCCAAATATTTTCACCGATGAAGATTATTTTGCTGCGGCCACATTAAATGTTGATGATCCAATTAATATAATTGAAAATGTAATTGAAACCCCAACAACATCAAACTCAACTCCTCAATCTTCTAAAAATGTTGATGTTTCTCTTATTTCACCTCAAATATCTCCAGTGTTGGTTACCATTAATGAAATAACACCAATTCCTAAAAAAATGCCAATAAAAATTGTGAGAAGAGTAAGTAGCTGCTAAACAGCATTCCACTTTGATAACTGGTGAAGAATGCTTCCTAAATTTAAGCTGAGCCTCTGGAATTGTTACGAGGCATCGTTGAATGATCTACCCAAAACTAACAACGCCGTTGAAGGCTGGCATCGAGGATTCAGCTCTCTTTTAGGAGCAAATCATCCATCTATTTGGAAATTCATTGAGGGTCTGCAAAATCAGCAGAGCCTAAATGAATTCCAAATCAACCAGTACATTGCTGGATTACCACCAGCACAGGCACGACGGTGTTATCGAGACACAGCATTGCGAATTAAAGAAATCGTTGAAGACTATGGGAATCGCGATACCTCCGATTATTTGCAGGGAATTGCTCATAATTTTCAATTCCAATCTTGCTAAATGGCTAAGTTTAGGGGGCACTCGTCGTTTTAAAAAATGTCCTTTTTAGGGCATAAAAAGGCTCTTCTCAGAGCCAAAAAATATTTATTATTAAAAAAAACTAGGCAACAACGAGTTACGTATTTTATTTTTAATTATTTAACAACATAATTAATTTTCAAAAATTTTCAGTTTCATATTAGTTAATTTTTATTCTTATATTAGTCCCATAGAAATACATTCGTTTTGTAAAAAAACATACCATCGGCGTATTTACTATCGGCGTAGATACTCGGCATTTTTTCCGCCGGCGTAGATACTAGTCGGCGTAGATGCCGTCGGCGTAGATGCTAGTCGGCGTAGATGCCGTCGGCGTAGATGCCGTCGGCGTAGATGCCGTCGGCGTAGATGCCGTCGGCGTAGATACCGTCGGCGTCGATGCTATCGGCGTAAAGACATGATACCAGCCCAAGACCGGCGAGACCACCCTGGACACACCGTATGAGGACGAACGTATTATGGGGGCTTCTTTTGTTAAAGCCCTTTCTTTCAGCCCATTGGTAGTTCACTATATGGACTCACTTATAGTAGACAACCTCTACTATGAAAGGGAAGGCCAACTATGGCACCCATTCATATCGCGTATGTACTTTGGCGCCCTCGCCTATATACAAACACTACGTGCAATGCAATATGCCAAACTAGGCTCACTAGCCACCAGACAGCTCACCACGCAAGTCTTGGCCGACATACAACCCGAAAAGTTACCAATTCCTGGGCCACTTATGCCCATGCTCAAAAGTCTATGTGTCTCCAAGCCAGACGACGATACTTTTAACCTTGTATGCCCACTAATCCCTGAGAACCCCGGACATCAACCAGACCACATAGAACCAGCTCACGATTACATGCTTTGCATGCCTAATCTCCCCCTGATTGGCTGCAAACCTCCAATCACATAAAGTATGCCCATTCTGTGTGTTCGCGGAGGTTGCCGGAGTACAGGACTACCAAACAACTGCAACGGAGCCAGAGTCCACCCCATGGAAGGTGATGGACGTAGGGTTCGACCCTTACTTTCATACCCTAACAGTCAGGTCTAACAACAACCAAAGGGGAGCTACTATAATAAGTAGTTTGAATGCACAAATTGTATAGATATTTTGCAGTACATTTATTTAAAAGCTAAGAGTTTTAGTAGGAGCATGGTGTGTCGATTGTTAAGACAATTTCTTAAGACATACATGTAACTTTATACTAATATATATATATGTATATGTATTACCAAGTTTAATTACTGCAATTCACACCTTATATTTTTAATTATACTAACCTTTATATTGGCTTACACATATTAATATTATTTTTTGAAATATTTCAAACAACTTTCAAAACAAGAAAACTACATAAACATGTGATATCCTCAAATAGTGTAACTATCCTTAAAATATTGTATTATTTGTCATCATTTTTATGTGGTTGGCATGCAAAAATGTATTATACATATCATTTATATACTACTTTATATAATTATTATTTATTATTATAATTTTAATTGTATTGAGTTTAATGTGTTATATTAAAATAAATATATAATAACATTAATTGATACCCATGTTTAATTAGTAACTACATTTGAAAAGTTTCATTTTTTTCTTACTTATTTTATTGCAATATACATTTAGGCTACCCTTACCTACAATAAGCCATTGGTTAACAATTAATGTTGTCTTTAGTATTATTCATTAACCAATAGTACTAGCAGTAATTTGTTCGAGCCTATGCATTCCATTTTAAAGGAGTGTTGTGCAAACTTATAATTATGATAACATCTGTTATATGCATATATCACACCAAAACACTTCGTTTAACTCTGTGTAAAAAAAAGTTAAAAAAAAAATGTAGGAATGATTAAATCTTTAAAAGACGTGATATAATATAGAAATTAAGTAAAATTACATTTTAGAATATTACAAATAACTATGATGACAAATACGATCAATTTTAATGTTAAATACTTAGTCAACATATTATGCTTAACTATTTGGCAGGACTTAAAAGTATACTTAAATAAATAGAATTAATAAGTAACCATTTCAGTATTTACATTATAATTAATAATGTATCAACAATATGTTGACTAAGTATTCAACATCAAAATTGATCTTATTTGTCATCATCGTTGGTCTCCTGTTGTTATAAATTTTTTTCTATTTTAGTTTTTTTTTTTCTAAAACTATAATATACATATTATATCGTTACATCTAACCCATATTTTATTATTATGTTTAATAATTGATGTGTAATGGGCTTGAGACTTGAGTCATAGATGGACCATGATGGCAAATCACAGAATTAAGAGCATATGATTTGCCATCGACCTTAATTGTTGCCACGGGTAATGAATAAATCACCTGATTGCTTATTTTATTATTATTTTATTTTATTATCGTTCCAAGTTTTCAACATAATAATATAATACCGTCTCGATGGACCACGAGTCCACTTAACAAACACAGTCGTTAAAATCGTCAATCGTCTTACGTCTTTATCAACACACAATTTTAATAGTATACTAGTATTACTATAATAATAGTAAGAACTATTGGTCGGCCACTCAGCCCCAGTATAAACACTATTTTATCTTTTTTATAAGTTTAATTGTTAGGTTGTCAAAACAGCTAACCCCAAATCATTCCCGAGCCACGTTATGCAAATGGTTTTATAACACACGCACTTGCAGCTTAACAAATAATAATAATTGTTATTATTATAATAGTGAGAAAGAAATAATAAAAATGCCGAAACGCCCAAATCTCTCTTACTACACGTATGCACGTTATGCCGTATACACGTTATCAACACACAATTTCAAACAACACAGTTATTAGTAATAGTAGAAACTAGAATGAAATAATAATAAAAGTATAAACACGTCGCGAGCAATCGAGTGCAAACCACGAAATGGTTTGTTTTTGCAATATTGTCAGTTGTCAACACCGCATCGTCACAATCGTCCGTGCGTCATCGTCGTGTACATCGTCGCTGCCACCACCGTGATGAGTGTAGTGGGAGTTGATAAGCGGCGGGTCGGGGGATATTTACGATATTTTCGTTCCCCGACCCGCCGCTTATCCATCCCCACTGTTCCGTACGCAAAATCGGTCTTAAAAGTACTTGAACATTTTTGCTTATAACTTATAAACTATCTAACCAATCTGCTAGCGAATTCCTCTGTTCCCATCTGCACAATATTTATGATCGATTGATACCTCATACGATTGTATATATTTAGCCGTTTGTCCTGTAGAGCTTGGCAAGGAATTGACATAAATTAGGACGATTTTTCAATGTTAAAACTCGGTGTCCGGTTATTATACGTTAGTGGCTACTCCGCTATTTTTTTTCACTTAGCTTAGGTTAGGTTATGTAGTCGCTCAGAGTCATCATCCAAGGAAAGACGTGTCCCGTTGGGTTCGCTCCCGAGCCGTCCCAGTCCGGTCGATCCGCTACACTCCAGCGTCACTAGCACCTGCCACCAGCAGTCAAAGTCGCCTAGAGGACTCTGCCGGCGCGCACCACTTCCAAGTAGGTATGTGCGGCCCCCCACCGGGCCAGCGCACCCAGCCAGAGGACCCCCTCTACGCTCCCCACGGTTTTTCGCCCGTATCTCCGTCAGGGTCGCTCCTAGAGCTTCGGGACGAAAATTTTGCCCCCTCGACAATATTTTAGAAGCTTTCAAAGACTACGTACAATTACCGGGTACAATTTAGTAGCTGCTATCATTTTTAACATAAAAGGGTGCTGTTCTGAATCTACCGTATTTATGATTACTTCGCATGCATTTAAAAATGGATATATTTCGGTTTGTCCTGAATAATAAGGAATTAATTTTATTGCGTCTAACGCGCTTATTGTTTTCGCGTCCACTTGTCATTTTCTTTACTTTGACAGTTCTTTTCGGTTGTATATATTCGGAGTTAATGGTATTTTTACTACTTCGTAACCCTTGACGAATTGCGCTAGAAGTAGGACTATTTTCAAACTCTTCTAGGTTTATTAATCGTAAACTTTTATTTAATATATCACTGGTTATTGGTTTAGTTTCTATACGTCCATTAAGTATTTCTTCATTAAATAAATCTAATTCTTCGTCTAAATTATTTATTTCTATATTGTCAACTATTTCACTATCAGTATTGTTTACGTCAATTTCTAAATTACTTTCGTTTTCGATTATTTCAATTATTCTATCTAACGTTTCTCTAGCTATAGTTTCAAATTCGTCATTAATATTTCCTTCTGAACTATTGTTCATTAATATTTTATCATTCTCATTTATTATTTTACTCTAATCCTTTAATTATAATCTCAGTTATATTTAATGTTTAATTTTATTATTATAATCTCATTTAATATAATCTTAATTAACTTATTATTTTTATTCGATTTGGGCTTTAACTTCGGCTGGGGCTTCTACTCGGGCTGGCGGGCTTTAAACATGGGCTACAAAATCTACACGTGTTCTATACAATGGAGTAGATAATTCCAAGGGAGTTGTACTTAAATAATAAGATGAACTCAAAAATATGCCCTCAATAATTAACAATAAATATAATCTCAATAATAATCTCAATAATGCGATGTAATAATTCACAATAATTCTCAAAATAATATAAAATACCCTTAATAATTCATAATAATAACTTCTCAATAAATGCCCTTTAATAATTCACAAAATAATCTTCAATAATAATCAATAATTGCCCTTCAATAATAATCAATAAATGCCCTTTAATAATTCATAAAAATAACTTCAATAATATCTTCAAAAATTGCCCCTTAAATAACTTTTTATAATATGCCCTTCAATAATATTTTAATATTTTTTCCCTAATTACGATGGACCAATAGACCAAAGGAGATGGTTATATAAATTATGCTTACAACACTGCTGTATTCATCCCGTTGCTTGATCTCTCTCGCCGTAGTTGAGTTGTAACAAAAGTTCGGTCTTCCCAGAGTCGTAGTTGAATTGAAGCGTGCACTCCTCAGTTCAACGGTGATCCACGAAGGTGAAGTTGCCTCTGTTGATTGAAGTTGATCCAAAATATTTCGACAAATATTGTTGAATGTTCCTTGCATCTTTGAAGACCCTGTCCACAGCGACAATTTCTATTACGTCCCAATTGAGGTCGATATATACATCAACGCAGGAATGAAATACTGATGAACTTGGTTATGATGAGTGTTTATTTAAGTACAAAATTACAATGCATATAAGCTATGGTGGAGATGTGAGCGGTGTTATGACCTGACTCCAAATGTCTTGAGTATCCCTAACCGTCTGCCGAGCACTTGTCCCGGGCTGGTATTTATATGATCGAGTCCTTTGGAGTGGGTGGTTGTATCAATGGCCAAATTCGGTCATGAGACTGCGTCCGGGTCTCGTACTTGGTATGCTGGTCGACTCGTATCCTTCGTATGAATGTTTGACTTTCCTAGAGAGATACTTTTACAGTGTCCCTAGCGTGTTATAATATACTAATTGCCTTATTAATTATATCGTCGAATACCTACTATTAGAAACCTGCGCTACGTCGTACATTGTTATTACTTAATTACTAAATACGTAGGTACGTAACAGTTATATTTTTTACGTTACAAAAAATATATAATCAATTAGGTACTACTAATCAGTATTTGCATAATATTTTTACAATGAAAATTATTTGCGGTGGCAAAATATCTAATCATACCTCATTATGTTTATTACATGCGAAAAACATTGCTAAGCAATACAAATTCAAACATACAATATAGTGTAGTTTAATGATGTTTAAAAAAATTAAATTGATTCGTAGAAATACGTAGTATTATGACATTATTTAACATCTTTGAGATCTATTTTAGAAAAATATTTTGAGCCACTTATATTCGCATAAAGATGTTCTATTTTTGGTAAGGGATACTCAGTTCCTTCCAATACGGGGTTGATTGTAATTTTGAAATCTCCACAAATTCTAACTGTACCGTCGGGCTTAAGAATTGGAACAATTGGAGTGGCCCATTCGCTGTAGTTCACGGGAGTTAAAATATTATTAACTATTAAACGATCAATTTCCGACTCTACCTTAGATTTTAGTGCTAAAGGAATTGACCTTGGCTTGAAAAACTTGGGTATTGCCCCCTTTTTAATGTTTAGCGATATTTGGTATTTATTAAAGGTGCCGATTTCATTTTTGAATAAATGCTCGAAATTTTTTAATATATTCTCTATATTTTCGTTTACATTTATAGTGTTATAAATGGGAGAATAGTTTATTATTTTTAAATCATTTCTACCAATTAATGGCGGTCCTCCGTTTTGTATTACGTAAATGCACATTTTAAAAGACTTTTTCAAATATTTAGCATTTACTATTAATTTTCCTATTGGGCTTATATCATTTCCGACGTAATCGCGTAGTGAAATATCGTTTGGTAATAAAGTTAAATTATTAAAACTTGTATCATATAATTGTTTTGACATTACACTATGCACAGCCCCCGTATCTATTTCAAATTTTAAATCTTTATTTTCAATTAATAAATTGATAATGTACGGTTTTACTTTATTTTGAAAGTTATTTTCAATCATATTAAAAAAAGTGTCAGATAAATTGTACGCGATTGCGTCATCATGAATATTTTCATTCGTGTTATTACCAGAATTTTCGGATAAAAATTTATTGTGTGAGCGGTTATCATACTTTGGTTTATTGTTCTTACTTTTACACATAGGAGCCAAATGACCTTTGATATTGCAAATATTACAACTGTAGTCCTTGTATCGGCATTCTTTTTGTGTGTGGTTTGATCGACCGCATGTTCCACATTTTGATTTTTCCGTGATTGACTGCTTGGCTGATTTTGCTTGCTGACTTTGTTTTTGATATTTGAAGTCAGCTTCTTCCTTTATCCATCCGGTTTTATTGTTGATTGTAGATTTTTTTGCAGCAGAAATTTCCATAAGGTGCGAATATGTGATGCTTATTTTTGAGGCATCTTCCTCTAGTAATCGATCTTGAATTGGTCCCGCGTTCATACCAACAACAAAAATGTCACGGATTACAATTTGTAATTCCGTTGAAAAATTACATTTTGATGCTAGGTTCTTTACTCTTGCTCCCCATTCAGCTACAGTTTCGTCTGGTCTCTGCTTTGCGTTGTAGAATGCATATCTTGATGCGAAGTACGATTTCACTGGCTTGTAATAATTGTTTAACAAACCTAATAGTGTGTCGTATGTCTGAACGTCTGGTTTGGCTGGAACGCAAAAACTGAATAATATTTTGTGAACTTCCTCACTAATTGAAGATAGTAGTATAGCTCTCTTCTGGACTTCGTTACTTATTCCGTTTGCAATAAAAAAATTTGTAAGTCTTGATTCAAATATTGTTATGTCGTTTCCAGATTCAAATGTTCCTGGTGAACCTATTATATTATGGAATTGAGTAATATTTTTGTTATCCTCACCCATTTTATAAATATTTTAATTTAATATGAGATGAGTTTAAAAAATTTTTATCTTCGTCGCCAATTTGTTGTGTATTGTTAATATGAATAATAACACAAACGTATATTATAGTCTTTTATTGTGAAAAGTATAAAACGAACTGACGTACATATAAAATTGTCTACTTGCTAATGACCGATGGACAATCCCCACCGATCGTAATATGATACTTATGATTATTATTATTAATATAAACGTTTAGTATACAATGTAAATGCTGAATATGCAACACTAAGCAATACAAATTCAAACATACAATATAGTGTAGTTTAATGATGTTTAAAAAAATTAAATTGATTCGTAGAAATACGTAGTATTATGACATTATTTAACATATAATGTATAATAATAATATGTATAATAATATAATGTTTAATAATATAATGTACATTATTGACTCAGAATTTAAGTACAAATACAAAATATACTTGCGAAGTATTTAAATACTTTTTTTATTTTACTTAATAAAAGTCTGTTTGTAAAATTAATTTTGTATTACTAATTTAAAATAGTATAATGTTACATCTAATTGGGTACTAAAGGTAAATGGGGGTTGTACTCCTACTTAAATTTATACTAAACAATGAAAATAAAACTTGTTTTATAATAATTTTGAAATACTTTATTCTTTGGTAATTAAACAGTTGTTAATAAAAACAGAAATTAATTTAATTATTTTACTAGGTGAGACATTATTATTTTAAGAGGTATATTCAATTTTCAAAATTGATTTTAATTGATTAACAAGTGTACTGGATTTCTATAGAGGTATCAGAAATCAGTATATTATTTGTAATAATCATAAGCAAGTAATCGTCCATAGGAGCTCTCAAAATGTATGAGTGAACAAAATATAATATTATAATTATATTGAAATAATATGAATAAATGAATAATAATAAAATTATTTTCAAAAAAATCTGACACCTGACGACTGATGAATAATTGTTTTGAATTTTTAAGTATTTACACAAAAGCATTTGAATTACAAATACAAATTTGTCCAATACTGAATACAGTATTCTATAAACTACCTATAAAAGTATTTAAATACGTTTACTCAAATAGGTACTTTACAAGACTTATTTGAGAGTAGTAAGTCTTGAGGCCAAGAATCTTATTGAATTTTGTCATTATCAAAGGTGGGCAAATTGATGAGAAAAATTATTTCAGTTAAGTTAAGTTAATAGTTAATAAACAATATATTAAATACTAAAATGCTTAACTCAGTTAAAAAGAAGTTAATTAATTAATTTTTAATCAACACCATAAGGTGAGTTAAAACTAGGTACTGTTGATATGGACATGGTTAATAAAAAGTTAAATTATATAATATAATACAAGGAATAAAATTATATACCTATTTTATAATATATTATATTATCTTGTTTTATTAAGTCTTATGTGGATATAGTCATTTGTATATTAAACATAGTATAGTTATAATAAATGTAAACAATAATAACCCATTTCTTTGCAAGAATTGACATGTTCCTACAAATACCAACTGTTATGTCCACAAAACAATTCATGTAGGCATTTAAATAATTAAGCACATTTTACCACAGTACATCATAGCTGAACATTGCGTTGTCTGTGGCCTGTGCTAAACTCTGATATAGGTACTAGTTGATCTGTTAATTTGTACGTTAAATGATTTTAATATATTTAATACATCAATATGAGCCGCAAGACAAGTGATATTTGATCTCATTTCACTGTCATTGAAAACTCTACATATGCTAGATGTATGATTTGTAAAAAAAAATATTCGTATAAAACTAGCCTTACAAATTTAAAAACGCATTATTCTAACGTTCAATAATTTAAATCAAAATTACATAGCAATAAGTGCAGAAAACCAGGTAAGTTCATTTTAAATTGTTTAAATAAAGTATAGTAAGTATATATACATAAGTATATTATACTTAATCTGATACACTAAACAGTATTATTAAATAAGTTTATTTTTCTGTAGTCGAACAAAGTTAACGAAGTAATCGTTGACGATCCTGGTCATACGTCTATACTCTATTTACCGAGAGTTGACCCAATCGTTCGACGAAAACCGGTCGCGGCTGCGCATGCCACCGCTCGTTTCAGCACTGGTGGTGATCGTCGACCAATCACAGACCGCTGCGGTCTCCTAGTCGGGGGGTATGAATGTTCCGGCGGCTCAGTATGCATGCGCGGAGTGGGTCAACTCTCGGTAAATAGAGTATAGTGATCAATTTCCCGCATCTTTTTCAAATATGGTACCAAATACAACTCCAACTACAGATATACAAAATACAACTCCATCAACATCTTTTCAAAATGCAATAGTTAATATCCGCAAAAGAAAACAAACTAATATTTCAGAATACGTACCAAGAAAAATGACACACAGAAGAAAATTGACGATGCCCTTATCCAAATGATCACTAAAGATTTTCAACCATTCAAAATAGTTGAAGATGAAGGTTTTACTCATTTTGTTCATCTGCTAAATCCTTCATACAAAATACCAAACAGCCATACATTGTCCAAAGTTCACATACCTGCGTTGTACCAAAAATGTTTAATTGAAACAAAGGAAATAATTAAAACTGAATCTGTGAGTGGTTGCATTACAACTGCTCGCTAAAACATTTGATTTTATTGACAACAATTTTGGTCTGAGATCTGTTTTATTAGGTTGTCATTAATTCTCTGAAAACCACACAAGTATAAATTTAAGTAACTAAATAAAATCGACATTAGAAGAATGGGATTTAACACACAAAATTACTTTTGCAGTACCCTATAACGCATATAATATAAAGAGAGCTTTATCTACCCTTGAGTTAAAGCATTTTGGATGCTTTGCTCACACGTTAAATTTGATCGTTCAAGGGGCTCTCAAAATCGAATCTAATTTTTTAGAAAAGATTAAAACAATTGTCACACATTTCAGAAAGAGTACATCTGCAAATAAAAAATTAAACAACTACCTATCAAATAAGTAACGGGGAAAAAGAACCAAAAAAGTTACTTCAAGACGTGACTGTACATGATCGAGCGGTTGGTTGAACTTGAAAGTTCTATTCGTGGAACTCTTGGCTTACTAGATAATCCTCTAGAAGGATTAACAGTAGATGAGTGGAAAGTAACTAAAGAACTGTGTATAGTGTTAGGTCCGTTTGAAGAGGCAACAAAAGCTGTAAGTGGAGATAAATACATGGCAGCTTCTTTAGTTATAGTCTTAGCTGAAGGACATAAAAATGTATGCAGCAAACTACAAAAAGAAAATTACCATCAAAGAGTGAACAATGTTTTAAATAAATTATTATCTGGAATAAATGATAGGGATCGCTGGGGTAACATTATTGGTCGTCATACACTAGTCCGTTGTACATTCCTCGATCCACGATTCAAAAACATTCCGTTCACTGAAAATCACCTACAAATAATTAAAAGTGAATTAATAGAAAGAACTGCATCAATTATATCAGCCAATAGGTTGGACAATGGGGTGAAACGTACTTTACCGACTACTACTGCTTCAGAAAATGAACAAGGGTTTTCAATTTGGAGTTCCATCGATTCAAAAGTGTCCGAAATTCAACATACAGGGACCAATACATCGAGTGCAATTATAGAGGTACAAATTTACTTAGAAGATGACATACAGAACCGCAACACTGATGCATTAAAATGGTGGATGGTTAATAAACATATATATCCATATTTGAGTCAGCTTTCCAGGAGAACACTTTGCTGTCTTGGTACATCAGTGCCCTGTGAACGCGTGTTCTCTAAAGCTGGTTTACTCATCAGTGACCGCTGAAGTAGACTTAGTAGCAAGAAAGTTGAAATGCTCCTTTTTTAAAATCAAAATTCATAAGAATGATTATTATTTTACGTTTTTATATGCAGATTGTATATAATTTATTTTGAAGATTATAAAATTAAGTTAATTAATTTAATTCTTTATTATAAATTTAGTTGTATCTACTCACCATTTTTTATCTCTCGTACATTGTATATTAATTTTTATTTATATCAGTCCACAGTATATGGGAGATGCGCGTATTACAAGCGAATTATATGCGATTTCATCGATGTACATCGAATATATCGGCTTACGTCGCTCCGTAGACGCACGGCTTAAGTGTTGATGTTTTGACCGTATTCTACATCTCAAACTGTGTCCGAGTAGGTTAGGCGTTAGGTAGGAAACACGTAAGTGCCGGGTTTGATTCCGTCGTACGCTCTCCGGACGTCGTTGCAGTCAATGCCATATGGTTTACACGGCCTCCCGAAAACCGATTTTTTTTTGCGTAATTTTCTTTTCTCTTTACTATTATTATTATTTTAACTTTACTTGGTGCATGTATGTTCAATTTTTTTTAAATTAATCTAACATATTTCATTTTTTATGTATTATAATATAATATGCATTTACGTGGGTAAACTAGGGTGACCATATTTAAAAAAATAAAATATAGGACAAAAATAATATCATTGTTATATTTTATTAATTTAATATATAATATTTTTAAATTAATAAGTATTAAGTATTTATTATATTTTTTTTGTTGTCCAATAAGATAACGCTTGTGAACGAAATAGATATATTATTAGGTTATCATTAATATTTATTTATTTCGCAATATGTTCACATTTGTTCGTGACGGATTGCTAGACGCTCAAACTTTTAAACATTCCCGCCAAAGCGCCAAGCCTTATCTCCAATCCCTATCTCCTTATCACAAATCCTAAACTGTCGTCTTACAACCTTTGCGAATTTTATAATTCCAACGACATTGTCTCCAAAATCGGGACCCACTCCCAGCGAGTCCAACGGGCCCCGAGTTACACTTAGAGCTATTTTTAATAAATCGAATACAATGAAGTGAAATCATAGAAAACAAAATATATTAACATGGAAAGAAATACAATTTACCGGATTTTATAAGTGTTCATATCTCACCGCAAGTTATGATAATAAAATAGGTATAATCATTGATTATGAATACTATTTATAGCAATGGTATAATTTAAATAACATTTTAAAAACCTACTAATAAATAGTTTATTATTATCAGATATAAATAATAAATATTATAATAATTATGATAAATAGGAAATTAGATAACGATGTGAACCGTTATAGAGAAAAGCTGTTCATAATTATAAAGTGCACTTATTCCACTGAAAAAATCGGCGGTGCAGAAAGTGCGCACTGAGTGCACACGAGTGTTGCACTGCAATCAAATCGAATACAAAACACTCCACCAGTTCACAGAATATTGGTCAAATCGAATACGTTTTTGCACTCAGTGCGCATTTTGTAAAGGGATTGAAGAGTTAGCTGAACACTTAAAAGACCTAGGAGTGGACTGTGTTTGGTTATCACCAATTTTTAAATCACCTATGGCAGACTTTGGTTATGATATTTCGGATTACAATATGATTGAGCCCGTATATGGCACAATGGATGATTTTGTAACCAGTACGCAAGCACTAGCAATGGATTTACGTTCGAAATATTCGCTCGAAGAACGCATCTATCTTGTATCAGCATATTACCGATATGATGCTGATTATAATACAATTTTTACAGACTTTGAGGTGAAATTCCCAAATACCTCTGTCCCACGACGCGAAACAGTGTACCGACTGATCAAAAAATTTGAAAAACATGGCTCAGTCGTTGATGCTCCACGTTCTGGCCATCCTCGAACAGCAGCAACAAATGAAAACATGATGTACGTTGCGCAGTCGTATGTCGAGAATCCAGCACAATCTACTGTACGTGTGTCAAACGGGAGTTCATAACGATGGTTGAATCAATCATCAGCACTAAGGAAGCCGACGAACGTCAAGAACAGCTACACGACTAACGACAGTGGATGATGAAGAACGGCCCGAAAACACTCTTCGCAGTCGCAACAGCGACACGCCGGAGGTGTCACCGACCACCGTTCTTCATCCCCCCACCTGTGACACCACGGGCGGGACGGCGATCATGGCATCGCGGCACAAAGGAGGAACGAGACTTCAAGGGCGGCGGACTCCGGTCGGCTCGCCAATAGGATATATCAGTACGAGACTTCTAGGGTGGCGGACTCCGGTCAAAAGACGAACATCTCACCCACTTTTCTGAAAAATTGTTAATGTAAAATGTCACGTATAGAGGGGGTAAGTCGGGGAACTGTCCCGTCTACCCCCCCACGTATGTATAATTATTTGTTGTTATTATTCAAATAAACGATGGCGGCGTCGCGGAAGAATGCGAAAGCAGTTCCCGTGTCGCCGTCGGTTGAAAACTGGAAAAAAAAAAAAAAAGGTACTTTATATAATTTTTATTTATTATTATAATTTTAATTGTATTGAGTTTAATGTGTTATATTAAAATAAATATATATTAACATTAATTGATACCCATGTTTAATTAGTAACTACATTTGAAAAGTTTCATTTTTTTTCTTACTTATTTTATTGCAATATATACCTTTAGACTACCCTTACCTACAATAAGCCATTGGTTAACAATTAATGTTGTCTTTAGTATTATTCATTAACCAATAGTACCAGCAGTAATTTGTTCGAGCTCATGCATTCCATTTTAAAGGAGAGTTGTGCAAACTTATAATTATGATAACATCTGTTATATATATGTTGTAATATAAGTTAGGTTAGGTAATGTATAAAAAAAAATACACTTATGAATAATTGTTGTTATATACCTATAAATATAAAACTGAAATCAAGCAAAAGAGGAAATCTTTGTTACGGTTTGGCTTCGAAACATCTTATCCAATTGTCATGCAGTTTTTTTTTTAATTTCATATTTTCACCGTACAATAAGAAAGGATTTGCCAAAATTCGCATTTTAAATAGGTGCTCAAACAGGGACATTGAGATTCACTATGGAAATTGGAAATTTTATTTTTATTTATTAATAGTTGCCATTGGTTACAGTCTACAGTGGAAATTGGCATTTATTTATTGGTTGCCATTGGTTATTCGGGCAGATCAGGTACAAGCTTGCATCAAATCGAATTATTGAACATTTCCTACTAGGGTGGCCGAGCTACACTTACCGCAGCAAGTTCCACCCAAAAGGAGTTCAACAATCATAATTTTTTTAAGAGTTGCGATTTTTTACGAGCAACCAAATTTGTTATATTAATCCACCATATTATATCAAAATAAACTTCGTATAACTTTGATACTTTAGAGTTAAATCATACAATTCCGTACAAACAGCACGGGGTCCGCGATCTACCGCAGGTAGATTGCCTACCTGATAATATACTGCTGCGATTCAGAATTTTTATTCCGGCCAACGGAAAAGATAAGATAAATTTTGAACACCATACACTGAATATTGAATAACGAATTGAACAAAATTTGAGTCAAATTGAGTTGATATATTTAACGGCCGACGAAGTGCACGGGATCAGCTAGTATTTCTATATATATAATAATAAAATATTATTCATTCTGAAAATATATACAAAAACAAATTAGAATTAGAAAATAAAAAGAACTCTAAAATTATTATTATTATTCATTGTTAATTTGTAACTGATGTAGAACATGCATATATACATTTAAATTGATTAATAGTAAATTTCATACATAAATTATTATAATTTCAAAAGCATATATGATATATCTACTATGACCAAGGTTTGTAAGAGATTTTCAATTTTGTTGTATGTATAATATGTTTGATTTCTACGTATTGCAGTCGACGAACGAATCAATTTAATTTGTTTAAACATCATTAAACTACACTATATTGTATGTTTGAATTTGTATTGCTTAGCAATGTCTTTCGTATGTAATAAACATAATGAGGTATGATTTTGCCACCGCAAATAATTTTCATTGTAAAAATATTATGCAAATATTGATTAGTAATACCTAATTGATTATATATTATTTGTAATGTAAAAAAGGTGGGCAAGTGGGTGTCGCTCTGCTGTACAGTAGGTTACAAGTGGGTCACTGTATAATGGATGATATTAAATTTGAATTCAACGATATAATATCATTGTATAAGAAAAACGATTCTGAGCGGAGACGGTATGTCTGTCTATGTATACGACATATTATATACATATCTATGGTATTAAACAAAAAATTGACCTATAATAGGTACCTATAATAAATTCCAAATTAATCATATCACAATATCCATTAGGTACGTATAACCAGTGGCGTATTTAGGGGGGGTGTCCTGGGGGTTAAACCCCCCCCCCAATATTTTTCTTAGTTATATTCATTACTGAAGTATCACAAAATACGAATAACGAAATATTTTAAAACTGCTTTGAAAAATGAAAATTGAATAATGTATATTTTATATTTTCATCTTATACCAGATAATAGTCAATAGGTATTAGCATTGATTATATATTGCGTGTATATATATATATAAATAGCTCTCTAGGTGCAGCCGTGCAGGCAGTGGCGAAATAGCAGAATATTGTGAACTATGTAATTCTTAGAATTGTATTATCGTTTCGGCTAGCCGTATTATTGGCTATCGCCTTATTATCTTTCTTCAAATACAACAATTATTATTATCTACGATAGCAAAAGACGAACGATATAAAGTGTACTATGTACAGTTGTCAGTTGACAGTTGTACACTCGAACTTCGAAGTACAACAATATTATTTTTTGCTGAACTGCTGCCAACTGTTGACGTCGTAAATACATCAAATTTACGTAAGTACAACATTATTGTAATTTATTTTTATAGCTTTTAAGCCTTTAAGGACTCGTACGAAACTATGAACTATACCTAATATGTAAAAACAATAGTTGAATTAATTAATTTAATATAAAATTAAAGAGTATTTAATTATGTTATTGTACTTTTAAAACAGTGAAAATGGCACAAAAGAAACAAACTTCTATTTCGTATTTTATGAAAATATCGAACTGTCGTAGTCAACCCGATTCTAAGCAGGACATTTCCTCATGTATTACGTCTGAATTAGAAGATACGTCACGTTCATTATCATCCCCCTCCAAAAAGCGAGCACATTCTTCTATGATTTCTTCAATTAAAAATACAGATGATTCAACCCCAATATCAGATCTCGTCTCAAAATCTATTGTTGCTGATTCTACTAATTTTATGAATGTATATGATATAGGATTTTATATAAACCGTACATTATCACAAAATGAAATATCTGATATTATGAATAATCTATGGGTGCCAGATATCAACTACAAATTTCCAATAAAAATGTATATGAAAAAAAAACAAGCAAATAAATTTAAAGTTTCAATATTCGTGGCTTCTGAAGTATCCATGGCTATGTTATTCCGAAAAAGAATGCGGCGCTTTTTGTAAATTTTGTGTAGCATTCGTTAAGTCTGGTGTTGGATATAACTCAAAAAAGCCAAATTCTTTTGTAGTGACTAAATTCGATAACTGGAGGAAAGCACTGGAAGGATTTCAAAACCATAGTGAAACAAATTATCACAAAACCTGTTTATCCGATTCTGAACATTTTCTTAAAGTACAAAAAAATATTAATGAAGACATATCAGTAAAACTAGACTCCAGTAGAAAGAATCAAATAATGAAAAATCGCGAACTTTTAACTCCGATAATCGAAGCAATCATTTTATGTGGCAGGCAGAATATAGCATTTAGAGGACACAGAGATTCGGGTAAATTAATGATCGACCAAATTGATGACGAATATGAAAACAATGAAGGGAATTTTCGGGGAAATTTTACGGTATAGGGCTAGAGGTGATGAGCAGCTTAAATTATTTTTAGAAAGTGATGGACATTTAAAATACACAAGTGCGACGATTCAAAACGAAATCATCGAATCGTGTAACCAAATTTTATTGAAACGAATTGTGAGTAGAGTGAACTCTGCTCAATGTTTTTCAATACTCGCCGATGAAACAGCTGACATTGCGAACATCGAACAAGTAGCATTGTGTGCAAGATACCTCGATAAAAAAAATATGATATTAAAAGAAGAGTTTATTCAATTTATACCTACGTTTGATACGACCGGAAAAGGTTTAGCATCATTAATATTAGAAAGCTTGCACAATTTTGGTATAGAAACAAAGTACATGCGAGGACAAGGTTATGACGGCGCGGCAGCAATGTCAGGAGAATTTAACGGCGTTCAAGCCATAATTCGTAAGACTCATCCTCTTGCTCTTTATGTGCATTGTTCCGCACATGTCCTTAACTTAGCTGTTTCAAACTCCTGCAAAGTACAGGAAATAAGAAATTGTTTGGGGACCATTTCTAAAGCTCGGGATTTTTTCAATTTTCCTAAAAGAAAAGATGTTTTAAAAACTCAAATTGAAAATAGTGATGAAAAAATCTCAAAAAAATCATTAAAATGTCTTTGCGCTACCCGATGGATTGAACGTTACCATGCAGTGAATGATTTTGAAGAGTTATTTGAACAAGTTATAGAATCATTAAACTTTATATCTGAGTGGAAAGATGTTGAGACTTCTTCGCATGCCAGTAATCTGTGTAGTGCTATATTAGAAGGGGGATTTATTATTTCTATGCTTATAGTAGCTAAATGCTTTAGTGTTGGTCTTCCTTTATCGAAACATCTTCAGCGGGTTAGTATTGACCTTGGCGAAGCGATCCAATTAGCGGAGGATACAATAAAAGAACTTGAAGATTTTCGAAAAAATGCTGATTCTATTTTCCAAGACATTTTTGAAAATGCTGTTTCTCTTGGTAATAAATTTGGTATTACTATAAGTATCCCTAGAACTACGAAAAGACAAGCAAACCGTGTAAATGTTGAAACTGATTCAATTGAAGTATATTATAGAATCGCTATATTTATACCTTATATTGAAACATTTATTGAGCAATTGAAAGTTCGATTTACCAGCCATAAAGCTATTTTAGTTAATTTTAATTCACTCATAAGTCTTAATACGGATGAAAACCATTTTTTGTCATTAACTGAAACATACATGGAAGATCTTTCTTCGTCCTCCAAGACAGTATTATTATCGGAGTATAATTTGTGGCAAAGACGACTGAGAAATTTAGAAACTTCTAACTATAGAAACGCAATGGAAGCTTTGTCTGTATGTAATCCAGAAATATACCCAAATATATTTAAATTGTTAACAATTTTTGCGACACTCCCAGTTTCAACTGCACAGAACGAAAGATCATTTTCATCACTTAAAAAGATAAAGACTTATTTACGTAATAGTGTAATACTATGGGCCAAGTAAGTTTATTTTTTTTTTTGACTAAGTCTAAATCATAATTATAAAATTAAATAAATAAATAATTGTTTTATTTAGAAAAGGCTAAATGGATTAGCCATGTTATCAATCAATCGGAAGGAACATTGAAAGTAAGCAAGTATTGGACGAATTGGCTGTAAAAAAAAGACGTCTACCTTTAATACTGTGGGGTTAAAGTTTTGAAATTTTAGTGTTTTTTTTTTCTTTTAATGTATCTATAATATTATATAAGTATACAAAATAAATTAAACTCATACGAAAAAATACTCAGTAAATTTAAGTGTTAGATTGGTTTTATTTTATTCAGTAAAATTGTTTATACTTTATTCCTGTCATAATTGTATTATAATTAAAAATGTAAGTAGAAATCCTATAATTTTTTTACAAAAAAATGTCCACTTATATAAGGTATTAAGATGTATTATAATCAGGTATGAATTAGTGATGAAACTATGTTAATAATTGTCATTAAATAACTGTGGAGATCAGGAGTCAGGACACCCCCCAAAAAAAAACCCAAAATACGCCACTGCGTATAACGCGTTATACATCTACAAAAACCGTGATACTATCATAGATATATAATAGTACACTTTAGAAGTTTCAAGTACCCACGAATAATATTATTCAATCCCAACAAAATAACTAAAATAGTTATTCTAGGTTTTTTAATATGTAATTTCGTCCAAATTTGAATTTAAAATGTCTGTAAAAAAAAACTGTGTTTATGTATTTTTTAGATTTTTTGGTTACAGTATGAACTATTTATGAGAACCTTTGTTTTGAATTCGCGATCCTTAGCTATAAAAACTGAACATTTTATAATTTATTAATTACAATGATTGAACATTTTCGAGATTTTGAATATTTTCGAATAATAATTAATATTATTTTGGAGACCACTCTACACTCCAAGTCACAGATTTCGGTACGGTTTAATTTCTTTTCGAATTTCCCGTGAAACGATTTTCACTCGACCTAACCGGAGGCGGCTTCCACAACGCCCGGAATCGAGGCACACGGGCAGCTAGTCTTAAACTATAATTGATAAGGTAAAATACAACAACAACAGCTGGTGCTGCACCCGCGCTCAGTAAATGTATGATTAGTTCCTGAGAATGCCAGAAAGCGCTGGTGTTTTAAAACCAGAAATGAGGCGGAGTTGCCAATCTATCTATCTTTTATTTATGCTCGGTCTGTTTAGGTATGTTTACACTAGTGCGCTTTCCACTTCAATTTTCAATTCGTCTTGCGTCTCAACATTCAATTCTACTTTCATCATTTGCATGCCTTTATTGAATGCTATTGACGCATGATTTTTTCTGTTCACACTAGCGACGTCACAAAGCAGTCGTTTTCCAACTTGTTAATAAAAAGCATGTCGGACTTTAATGTACTTCTTGGTGTCAGTGCGGCATATTTAATGATTGCGAGTGCAAATAAAAAGCGTAGGAAAAAGCGTTCTTTGTCGGTTAGGAATTATTTAAAAACTCGAAATTTCGGAATTATAGATGATTTGCAATTAGACGAAGATATTTTATTTAGAAACTTTACGCGAAGGTCCAGATCAAATTTTTACTCAATATTACAAATAATTGAACCAGAAATAGTAAAACAAAACACTCGTTTTAGAGAGGCTGTTCCAGCTAAAATTAGGTTGTTAATAACACTAAGATATTTAGCAACTGGAGATTCGTTTTCCTCTTTAATGTAGGTACCTGTTTAAAGTTTCCAAGCCATTCATATCGACCATGTTGCCCACGGTTTTGAAAGCTATAGTAAATGCTCTACAAGATTATATCAAGGTAAGTAAATGTATCCATAAAATAAAATTTGACAAATTATAAGTAATTACATTTTATTAAATAATGAAATTATTGTTAATATTAATACTTTAGTACGTTTTAAATATTTTCTTATCATAACTAACAATAAGTAGAGCATAGGAAACATTTTAATATTAAATACACATAGGTAGGTCTTTTTATTACATTACAAAAATGAGAATGAAAAATGAAAAATGTAGGTAGGCACATTAAATGTCATTATTGGCTGTTGTGAATGATAAAAATTCACCGATACGGAACGAGTCGTTCATGTTATCATGTGAAGTCAAGTGATGAACTGTGTTCACTTCAAGATTTGAAGACTCGTCAATTGTAAAAGACTGGCTATCACTATTGAATGTTCCAGCTGAGGTTTCTGGCGATTCAGTCATAAAACGTTGTCTTTCATATGTTTCCATTTCTTTAATTTGTAAGTCCATAAGCAAATTGGTAATCTGACGTTTGGCCAAAATTTGGTTGATGGGTTTGAGCTTTCTTACATTATCTGCTACAAAAGTGCCAAATGTAAAAAATTCATCTCTGGCCGATATTTCGTGAGCTGCTTTTTTCATAAATTTGTACGCCTCATCTTCTCTTTCATCTCGAAAACTTTTTTTTAAGTTCCTCTTTGCCCTTATGGGCTGTATGAATTCATAATCTTCAGTTGTAGTATTTTTCAGATTGTCACATATTTCTTCATCTTGTAGATCCTGCAACTTATAACATATAATATTAAATCAATTTTTCTACAGCTTCCTTCAAGTGAACAAGAATGGAAATCTATCGCAAACGAATATAATAAGCTATGGAATTTCCCCCACTGTTTAGGTGCCGTTGACGGCAAACACGTGGTAATTCAAAAACCAGAAAATACGATAAGTGAGTTTTACAACTACAAAGGAACAAATAGTATTGTTTTATTAGGAATAGCTGATGCTAACTATCGTTTCTTGTACGTTAACGTTGGATGCCAAGGCCGAATTTCAGATGGAGGTGTCTTCAAAAATACTTCGTTTTATAAGAAACTCCAAAAAAATGAACTTAATTTGCCAGAAAATGAACCACTACCTGGTCGTACGTTACACCTTCCTTATGTTTTAGGGCTGATGATGCATTCCCACTAACTGAACATATTATGAAACCTTTCAAGACAGATTTAAACAAAGGATCTCCAAAAAGAGTATACAATTACAGGTTGTCCAGAGGGCGCCGTATTATAGAAAATACATTTGGATTACTTTCTTCTGTGTTTAGAGTTTTTCGTAAGCCGATAGAAATAAAAGTTGAAGATACAATAGTTAATATTGTACTGGCTTGTGTTTACCTACACAATTTTTTAAGAGTGCAACCCGATTCTAGACAATTTTATTCAACGTCAGGGTGTTTCGATAGTTATGATTCATGTACAGGAGAAATTATTCCTGGATCGTGGAGAGAAATCACTTCTGGTGACACTGGTTTGATACCACTTCGATCAATTCCACGAAGACCAGCGACAACAGCAACAGTTGTCAGGGAAGAATTTATGCAATATTTCATGTCCGAAATCGGATCAGTTCCCTTTCAGGATATATACTTGTAAACAAATACATTAAGAGTAGAATTGTAGAAATATTGATTTATTTCTCTTTTTGATTATATTATATTATTAGGATACGTACTATTATGTGCAAGATATTATTATTATTTGTATTATTATACAGTATAGTGTAAAATTATATTATAAGATTTATTAATTTACAGATAATAAACCCAGTCTTATTTATTGTTATCGCAGATAACAGATACAAAAACCATGCGCAGAATCTAATAATAAAATTGGAGGAATAAAAGAATAATAAAATCTACTAATAATAGAAAAAAAACTTAAAAATAAAATAACTTACGTTTTCATTATTAATAACACTTGTTGTCGGGTTACCATCTTCCTCGCTATCCCTAGTTTCCCTTGGTGTTGTTGAGTCAGAAATAAAAAGCAGCGAGTTATATGCAAACCATGTGGAAGAATAATTTTCTTCCGTTCCGGAACCAGATTTTTTTTTAAGTACTTTTTGCCGTTCCTTAGAGAAGTACGATCGCAAGCTTTTTATTTTAGATTTTACAGCTGCCGCGTCCATGTTAAATTTTGTGCCGATTGCGACAATGGCATCGTTACTTTTAATTTTATTCGTGTACAATTTATGGTTGGCATCCCACAGTAGTGGAAACGATCTAAAATAAAAAACAAAATAAATACTTAGTATTAAATATTAATATAAATATTAAACTTAAGTAGTTTAATTTAATTTAATAATTTATTACCTGTATTCTTCAATGAAACGTGATGTTTGGTTTTGGTCTTCGGTTTCAGCCATTTTTTAGGTAATATATAATAGGTATTATATTTCAGGTAATTAGGTAATTGGCTAAAAAGCACGGCGTGTTGAACGGATTCCCACTGAGCGCGGAAGTCCTTGCGTTTAAGCGTGCGTCACGAAAATGTTGCCGTTCAACTCGAAAGGGCATGCGTTATTGCAAGCTTTTTCGTGCAACTCGTGGTGCGCTATGACGCATGCATCTAACGCACGAAAAAGCGCACTAGTGTAAACATACCTTTTCAACAACTCGCGACCAAGACACACGTCTCGTCTCCGCTACTACTCGTCCGCATCACCCACGTTTTCGAGTCCCGACGTTCTCTTCCTCCACCAACGGCCACGAGGTACGCAAAGCCGTGAAACCCGGGCATCGCCTACGAAACCGTAACGTCCCCCCTTGTCACCGACACTCTTTATTAGGTACGTCTGTTAAAACTGTTAAAATTTTTTGACTTATTCAAATAAAACATCTAAATACTACAACCACAATCTTGTTCTCTGTAGTGTTTACCCGACGTTAGCCCACGACAAAGTCTTAACATATTTCGCCGTGCGCCACATTGGTGACCTCGTCAAGCAGAACAAAAAGTTGAAAAATATGAAAATTTTACAATTTCATGTCAATAATTCGCTTGAAATTATAATATAGTTAATGTATATTAACCTACATACCTAATAATATTTAAAAATGTGTACTTGTATTACGATTTAAACATTTTAAATGTCAATATTACACTATTAAACATAATATAGGAAATCCAAAATATAAATAAATGTATATGCAAAAGCGGGTAAGTGGATGTCACTCTGCTGTACAGTAGGTTACAAGTGGGTCACTGTATAATGGAAAGCATTAAATTTGAATTCAATGATATATCATTGTATAAGAAAAACGATTCTGAGCGGAGACGGTATGTCAGTTTAGTTATAAGACATGTTATAATATAATATAATATAATAGTATATTATACTTATCTATGGTATTAAAAAAATTGACCTATAATAGGTACATTGGCGGATATCCATCGAAAAATTTGGGGGGGGCTACGATTTTTCTTATGAATCAAGGTCGTGGGGGTGGGGGCTATGCCCCCCCCCATTAATAATTCTAAACAAAATTTTAATTTAACATTGAAATAATTTTACTGAACAACTGAACGAAATATTTTGAATAAAATGGATGTCTAATTACTTTTTTTTATATTTAAAATTTAATATAATATAATCTTACATAACAAATAATAATATAGTTTAGGTACTGTAGAAAATAAATAGGTATGGGAATGTGGGGCAAAGTGGATAGGCGGGGCAAATTGAAAATCGCTCGTAAAAAAATAACATATGTGAATTAATAAATTAAAGTGTGCTTAATATTTTCGTTTTTATATATATACTCTTTGGAAAAATGATATACTTCGTTTTAATTGTTATCATCAGTGTTATTATCAAAAATCTAATATTACCTTCAATGATGTAAAAATTGTCGTTATCAGAAATTTGATTTTTTCTAAGTAATTAATAAATTTTCCAACAACGTTTTTTGCAGAACTCAAGGTAAGGATATTAATTTTGTAATACTTCATTCAGTTTTTAGTTTTGTTTATATGATTTAATGTAATAAAATTATTACGAAATAATAGTTCGTCGGGGCAAAGTGAATTCAAGAAAATCACTTTGCCCCATCATAAAAACATGCTTTCAAATTTAAATAAGGTTACCTATCTACTTAACTATAATCAACAACTTACATTATTTTTATTTGTTTAAACTAAATATTCTTAGTATTATGTGCATTTCTATATTATTATGTTGCATTTAAATTTTGTTATAGATGGTAAGAAATTATAAACGGAAAACAAATCAACAGAGTTGGAGTGCGCTGTCCATGCAAAAAGCATTGGAAAAAATATTAAAAGGAGACTTGAGCATCAAAGAAGCCTCAAAAGCATATAATGTTCCATATTCCACATTATACCGCAAACAAAAAACTGGAAAATCGCCCCAAGAAGCTGCAGTAAAATCACTTGGTCGGTTTAAAAAAGTATTTGATTACAATCACGAAACTTTATTAAAAAATCATATTTTACTGATGGAAAAGAGATTATTTGGTTTGACTATCCTAGATCTGAGATTGCTAGCATATCAGTATGCCATTAAGAATAATTTAAGCCACTGTTTTAACAATCAAAAGGAAATAGCTGGCAGAGATTGGGTATATAATTTTATGAAAAGAAATCCAGAATTATCCCTAAGACAGCCTGAAAAGACTTCAGCAGCCAGAGCTTCAGCATTTAATAGAACAAATGTATCTAAGTTTTTTGATTTACTTGGAGAATTGATGTGTAAATATAATTTCACAGCTAGTAGAATATATAACTGCGATGAAACCGGAATGACCACAGTACCGAATAAACCAGCCAAAATAATATCACTAAAAGGAAAAAAACAGGTGCCTAGATTACAACATACAAAATATAATAGGTATCTATTAACTTAATTATTTATTTATTATTTAGGTTGGATCATTATCATCTGCTGAAAGAGGCACGTTAGTTACTGCTAAAATTTGCATGAATGCAGCTGGTCAGTACATACCACCACTTTTGATATTTCCAAGAACACGTTCACAAGATACGTTTAGTTCTGGATTGCCTCCTGATTCAATTGTTGTATGTCATCCATCCGGGTGGATGCAAACTGAGATATTTTCCCCTACATGGTTAAATCATTTTATAAAGTATGTAAAACCGACGGCTGAAGATCCCGTTCTTCTTGTGTGTGATGGTCATTCAACTCATGTCAAAAATATTGATTTTGTTACCCGAGCAAAAGATAATTTTATTCATGTTTTAATTTTACCTCCCCATACTTCTCACCGACTTCAACCTTTAGATGTCTCTTTCATGTTTCCATTAAGTGCCTACTATGAACAAGAAGTTAAACGTTGGCTTAAAAACCATAGTGGTAAAATTGTAACAATAAAACAAGTTGGTGAATTGTTTGGTTTAGCATATCAAAGGGCAGCTACAATTCAAACAGCAGTAAATGGTTTTAAAACAACTGGCATTTGTCCATATAATCCATACATTTTTCCCGATGATTTGTTTGAACCATCTGAGACAACAAATAAAACATTGGTAGACAATCAAACAACAATAAATCAAACACCAACAACATCATATCAGACTATCTCAACTGAACATGTATCTGTTACACCAGAAGACATAATGCCTGTGCCTCATGTTGGATCTCGAACAATTGAAGAAGCTACAGCTCCAAAAAGGAAAAAAGGGAAAACTATGATTATTACAGATACTCCAAATTTGAAAGAACTGGAAAATAATTTACCTGTCATTAATAATCAAAAAAAGAAAGTTGTAAAGAAACGATTATTCATGTCAAAAGCTAAAATATCAAAACCCAGATCAATTTCATCTTTTGAAGATGATTTTGAACTTTTAAATGATACAAGCGATAATAATAGAAACATTGGAGCAGATGAAAATAACCAAATAAAAAAAACATTGAACTTGACTGGAAAATATATTGTTGCAAAATTCCAAGTAGATAAAACACTGAAGCATTTTGTTGGTATTGTATTAAATTCAAACAATGATGTTAAATTTTTGAGAAAATATAAGTCTAAGTTTGATAATTCTAACAAAATATTATTCATTTGGCCTAACGTGGAAGACATTTATAATGTTAAGAGTGAAGATGTGTGCATAATTTTACCAAAACCAACAGAAGATCGTAGAGGTAGATTAACTTTTAAAGGAGGTCTAACAGATAAATTTAACATTTGTTAATTTTTTTTAAATTGTGTATATGTTTATTATTAGTCAAAAAGATTTTGACTATTTTTTTTAAAAAAAGAACTGATATATTAAATTTTAAGTAGGTACAGTTTTTTTTATTATGTTTTACATGTAGTCAAAAGATATTGACTATATTTGAATGTTTAATATTAATATTAATGTTTATTTTATTTTTATGTTTTTTATTTTATTACCTAGTCAAAAAGATCTTGACTGATAATATTTTTTGAAAGAACTGAATTATTAAGTTTTAAATGTTTTAATTTTAATTATGTTTACATGTAGTTAAAATATATTAAGTATATTTTTATGTTAAATATTAATAAAAAAAATATATAAATATTTTATTTGTTAATTTGTTACTAGTCAAAAAGATCTTGATTGTATTTTTTTTCTTAGGATTGGACATTAAGTTTTAATATTTTTGATTATGTTTTTATGTTTAATAATAAGGAGAAAATAAATTTTATATTATGTTGTTTTACTACTAGCCAAAGAGACTTTTTTGTTTATTTTTTTTTGTTCTTGTCTGTTTTTCATTTATAAAGAATTGACTTAGTAAGTTTTAAAATTGTTTTAATTTGTTATTGTTTTACATGTATTCCAAAGATATTTATTATATTTTTTATTTTACTGTTCAAAAAGATCTTGATTGGTTTATTTTTAAGGAACAGACTGATTAAGTTTTAAATATAATCAGAAGACATTCAACATATTTTATGCTTATATATATTTGTAACATTATACACAGGTAATTTAAAACATTATTAAAATAATACAAATAATTTGCATATTATATTTATAGGTATATTTAATTGATAATATAAAAAATAATAAATAAAAGTGGTTTTGAGGTGTAGGTATTTACACCTATTTCACCTATTTTCCTTTTTTTTTTTTTGATACCTATTTTCTTTTATCAATACACATTTTCATTTTGCCCCATACACATTTCACTTTGCCCCATACACATTTTCACTTTGCCCCCACTATGGGGCAAAGTGAAATTTTTTCCAAGTTTTAAAGAAAAATTAATTATTAAATATTGATTTACAATTAAAAGACATAATTTTAGTCAATAAAACTACATTAAATTTGCGATTTAATGGTTTTAAATTCATCTATTTAAACTGATTATTGAGTATGTTATGATTATTTAAACATAAAGGTGTCCACTTTGCCCCACATTCCCCTACTATAAAATATTTGTCTTAAATGTTTTATTTTAAAACCATCATCCTTGAGGATTTAGAAAATTCATTTAAAATACATTCAGTATCCATATTTTTTGTTACATCTTTCTCTATATGTAGAATAGACAAATTTGTAAAACGTTCTTGATACATAGAAGTTCTCACCCACGTCTTTATTCTTCGCATAGCCGAAAAAGATCGCTCGCAAGTTGAAGAGCTGACAGGTAAAGTAAGTGCTACTTGAAGCATTTTATAGACATTTGGAAAAATTTCTTTTTTTATTGATGTTTTCAAATCGTCAATAGTCAAACCATTGTTGGTTTTATTTATAAAATTTCTGGCAACAGTCATTTCAGATTTAATGTTTAATTTGTTAATATCCAATAAATCCTAAAATATAAAATAATAAAATATTATTTTTGCAATTATGGTACTTTATACATTGTTTACATCTACTTCAAAATATAAATATTAATGTGTTTAATATGATAAGTATTAAATATAATGTAAATAGTACCTTATAATGATCAATAAATATTAAGCTTCCTTCATATTGAAGTTGCATGAATTTATCCAAAGAAACAGCCTATGTTAAACTATCTGGAGAAAATCTTTTTTTTAAATTTACAATTATTGAGTCTAATATTTTATAATAAATATTGGATCTATAATAGTCATGCACAGACTCAATTGACTCGATTGGTTACAGAGTGATCTAACGGGTGTCACCTTGTATAATATAATATAACGAAAATTGTCTCAACATTTTTAACTGAAATGTACAATATATATTTAAAAAAATGTTTCTTAATATTTTTTACTGAACTGTACAATAATTTTATAATATGGCAAACATTTTAGAGAGGGCTTTGAGGCTATCAGGGGGGGGGGGGGCTAAGCCCTCCCCAAGCCCCCCCCGGATATCCGCCAATGATATAGGTACCTATAATAAATTCCAAATTAATCATATCACAATATCCAGTGGGTACTTATAACGCGTTATACATCAACAAAAAACTCTGATACTATCATAGATATACAATAGTGTACCTACTTTAGAAGTTTCAAGTACCCACGAATAATATTATACATTCATAACAAAATAACTTAAATAGTTATTCTAGGTTTTTTAATATGTAATTTTGTCCAAATTTGAACTTAAAATGAATATAAAAATAAACTGTGCTTATTGATTTTTTGGTACCAGAATTAACTAGGTACTTACGTGGAATCTTTTTATAAATTTTCAATCCTTAGATATAAAAGTTGAACATTTAATACATTTTTAACTACAAAATAATTATTCAATTTTAAATTTGATAAATTTTGTCAAAATTCGATCTTTAATTGAGCTTATTTAAAAGCTTATATTGAAAAACAACGTCAAGTGAATACTTAAGAATTTCATTTTTATACTGTGAGGATTTTAAAGGGCGGTGAAAATATTGGTAAATAAATAGGTGTATGTTAATAACTATATTGTTTGATCTTATTAACCGGTAAATATAATATTTTTCAGAAACCTTGATTGAAGCCCGTCCAACTGCTATGAGATGCACCATTCATATCAGAATTATCTGAAGATAATAATTGTAGTATCAAATAAAGAAACAAACAAAAAAAGTACAATACAAAAGTTATCTCCTCACCTGAATCAATGTAGCCAGCTACTAAACTTAACTAGTTAACTAATAAACTAAATTCAAGTGATGATGATGAGTAGGGAACGGATTTGAATGCAAATTGCATTTTTTTCTGTATGTCCGAAAACATTGGTTTCCAAGCAAAAAGTGCCTTTCATCCATCAAGGAATTAAAAAATGTAACTTATATTTTGCATTTTTTGACATTTTTTCAACATTCATTCCAAAAAAAAATAAAAATACCTAAATATTTATTATGTTACGAAATTACGAAATTATTGTTGACTCGTGTAGACACAAAATACATACATACAAGTTAAAACAGATTATTACCCGTATTAAGGTAAAGATGAGATAAGCTATTTATCTAAATTGTAATTTTGTATTGCACTGTTGAGTTGAGTCATTACTTCATCGTTTAGTATCGCGTATAGCCTTGTCGTTAACGTTTTCGAGTGATTTTCGTAGATGTATTTAGTTTAGTTTTGTCTATTTCACGAAGTTTTTGAAAATGCCTAAAGCCAAACCTTCAGATGTTTGTCGTTTGCGGTCATGCGTTCAACAATATGGAGAATCAATTTTTTCTACCGATGGAAGCATTCTATTTTGTAAGATTTGTGAGGTCAGAGTGGCAGCCGAAAAAAAATGTACTGTGACACAACATGTGAGTAGAGATAAACATATACGTGCACTAGACATTCAAAAAAATAGAAAAGGTGAAGTTGTTCAGACATTATTTAATACCGTTCCAATAAATAATGCATTTACTACAGATCTTTGTACTGCAATGGTATCTGCTAACATTCCTATTTTAAACTAAAAAATGAAAATTTCCGCAATTTTCTTTCAAAGTATACCGGCCAACATATTCCAGACGAATCCACAATTCGAAAGAACTATGTAAGCAATACTTACAATAATACGATAAATTCTATTAAAACTTACTTGGAGAATAAAAAATTGTGGGTGAGTATAGATGAGACTACAGACGTAGATGGCTGATATGTCGTCAATGTCATAATCGGCACTTTAGAAATTGGATGTCCCTGTAAAACTTTTTTATTTAATTGCGAAGTTTAAGAAAAAGCAAATAATAGTACTATAGCTAAATTATTTGATCAATCTATGAGCTTGTTGTGGCCAGAGGGTATTAAACACGATAATGTACTCCTATTTCTCAGTGATGCAGCACCTTATATGGTGAAGGCAGGAAAAAATATTAAAGCGTTCTACTCAAATATGGAACATGTTACATGTTTAGCACATTCTCTACACTAAGTAGCTGCAGAAATTCGTAAAAAAATTCCCGAAATTGATGCTTTTATTTCGAACGCAAAAACGATTTTTTTGAAATGCCCATCTCGGGTATTTAAATTCAAAGAAATAGCGCCAGGGATACCAATACCCCCTCAACCAATACTTACTAGGTGGGGTACATGGTTATCGGCAGCCATATACTACTGTGAAAATTATCAATTGATTAAATCTGTTGTGATGTGGTTTGATAAAGAAGATGCTGTAGCAATTGAAAATGCACAAAAACTGTTAAATGATAATAATATAGAACTAAACTTGACATTTATCAAAGCAAATTATGGAAATTTAACAAAATACATTACTACATTGGAAGCATCTGGATTATGGTTGGCTGACGCAATTAATATTATTGCTCAAGTACAAAATGAAATCGGAACAGACAACAGTATTATCGGAAAATCCATTAAAAAAAAACTAGAAGTTGTAATTGAAAAAAATTCGGGATTTAAAACAATAAATCATATTTCAAATATTTTTGAAGGAAAAGCAACATCTCGAAATAATACAATATCTGAAGAACTAACTGCTGATGACATGGCTCATATGAAGTTTGCACCTATGACGTCAGTTGACGTGGAAGGAAGTTTCTCGCGATACAAAACAACACTGGCCGAAAACCGTCAAAGATTTCTGTTTGAGAATATTAAGCAGCACCTGATTATACAGTGCTATGAAACAAAAGGTAAAAGTATAACGAATATACCTATCTAAATTTTATATCGATTAATTTTTAATTTTTTAGGGTAAAAAGAAGATGGAAAGAAGATAATTGAGAGTTAATTAATTCAGGTTTTATTGTATTTAAATATTTTTTATCAGATTTTTCATAATAATGTGTT